GAGTGAGTAATTACAATGTTAAAGGAACTACATTGGAGGATTAGTGCACAAGTGAAACAAACAAGAGAGAAAAGTGGTAGTGCACCTCACTATTTGAACACTATTCAAAGCTGACTTTTGTAAAGCTTCTTGGTCACATTTTCTTCAAGATTCCAAAGCAAGATTGATCACTCAAAACACTCTCTCTCACTCCTTGTTCGGCCGACCCAAAGAAAGAAAAGGAGGGAAGAAAGCTCTCTTCATCTTGCTCAAATTTTGCTTCCATTTCACTTGAAAATCTTCACCCAACTCACAAAACCTTTGGAGATTAATTCTAACTTGGAGAAAGACAACATCTTGTGGAGTTTCATGGAGGATTTGTGGTGGAAAAATCTGATTTTTCATCTAGGGTTAGAGGTAACCCTTTAACTCTTCTAGTCTTTCCATTTTCTTCAAGAATGAAGGTTAATTTTCATGGGTTTACAACCCTAAGCAAGAAACTAGGTTAGAGGACATGAGAAAACTATTTACCTTACTTTAATCTCTAGGCTAGCGGTCTTGAGGAGGCTTGTAGGTAGCTTCCTTAAGGATATGTTGCTTGGTTAATGTTGTTTGTGTGATGAATGAAAGGATTATGGTTAGAAAATGGAGAGAAAGTTAGAAAATTTTGGTTAGTGCGCTGGCCGAAAATTCTGGTAATGTTGTTCACTTTTTATTTCGAAATTTTGATGCTTGGTTGGTTGTGAAATTGATGGATATATGTTGTATATTGTGTGTACAAAGTGTCTTTCAAAAATTGTTTCATTTGGTTGCACAAAACTTGAGTTTTGGCAAGAATCAAATCTGGAAAACGTACAGCAGAGGTCTCGGACAGTGCTCCTTTATCTGAACATAACTCTTTGTAAAAAAGTCAAAATTGAGTGCCATTTGCAGAATTCAAAACTAGACATTCGTAGCTTTCCAATGGTATAAAAATCTCCTGCTGCTTCATTTTGAGTGAACCGCAGTGAGTCGGAAAAGTTTGCTGTTCTGTTTTGACTGTTCATACGAATGAAACTGGAAGCTGCGTTTTGTGGCTTGATTTTGTCCAATTTGTGAAAAGATTTTCGGAATAATATCTTGTGATAAATTGTAGCCTTTGGAACATAGTTTCCAACGCCACCAACCATTCTCAATTTGAGTTTGTATAGAGTTAGATATGGCTTGATTTTGAAAACGCGGCAAAGCTGGAAACTAGAAGCCTTATCCTTTCTTGCTGACCGAATGGTCAAACCTATTTTGGACAGTTATATTTCAAAAATTTTAGGGTCATTTAACTATCAAATGCTTATTAAATGTTTCGGGAACCTTGGTTTAAAAAATGGAGTGAATTGGGGTTGATTTCATTGGACAAAACCATTGGAAAGAAAGAAAGAGTGAGTTGGCAGATTTGCTTTGAAAATTTAACAAACTTTGGTCTCTTTGTTAACTACCTTCCCATGTGAGTTTTTGCCTATAATTTGATAGAGAGGTATTTTACATATGGAAATTTAAGTGTACCAAATTTGGTGTAATTTCAATATCATTTCGATATCCAAATGATGCCCCAAAGATTGCTCTTCAAATCTGGAAATTTACCGAACAGTTTGTAAGATTCAGCTGACTTTAAACTGTTATATCTTGATGGTCAAAACTCTGAATTTAGTTTCATTTGTCGTGTTTGAAACCTTGTTTGGAACTCTTGTTGTGTTATGAATTTCAAGGACTGATTCACTTTCTGTGAATTATGCCGAAGTTCCAAAGGTTGCTGGAAAACCAAGACTGGTTCAAACCTGTCTTCTTGGAACTGAAACTTTGAACTGAAAAATGAATACATTCTGTTTGGAACCATGAAAAAGTGCCTTCTACAAACTTTTAGTACTTCGAACCTAGTTTCCGATGGTATAAAATTTTCTATTTTTGGATATGCCAAACTCAAGATCTGATTTTTCAAAGATTGTCGCGCAAAGCAAAAATTTTTCGAATTCTTAAAAAATGAGTTTTTGAGAACTTGTCACTCTCTCTCGATATCGATAGACCGTTTTAAACTCGATTTCATGGAAGAGACAAGTCTCTCTTGGGACTTTAAATCCTCACTTTTAAACCTCAATTTTCGAGAGATTTAAAGTTCTCTTTCATGACATTGTCTTAGTATTGCACAAGTGTGCATTCTTTCTTGTTGACCAGGGGTTTGTAAGTATTTGTGAGTGATAGTCAATTATTATTTCTTCAGGCGCTCAAGAGGATTTTCAAGAGAATCTCAGAGCGGACGCCTAAAAGGTTATTTGCTCACTTACTTCCTTTTTGACTTGGTGAGTGTCAAGTGCATGATTTGTTGTGGAATACGTAAATTGCTTCTTGTTAATCATGTGAATTAGAATTGTCGAGACGAATGTGTACTTTATCATACTCGTTCTCTTTTAAATGAAATTATGATCGAATTTCGCTATGTGAATTGATATTCAACTTGTGTGAAGTGATGTGGTTGTGAATCGTATTTGTGATCGTCGATTGGAGCGTTGTCTCATCGATTTATATTTGTGTTTGGGGGACGCCTAAACTCATAGGCTAACCTTGTGATTTGAGCCGGCATGGGTTTGGTCGAGAAGCTTGGTGAACCATGAGATATTCATAAAGCTTGATCTATTTGAGAGATCTCGCTTGGCATACTCGAGTAGTATCGCCTTTTAAAATGATGAGCGGGCCTGGGACAGGGGGTATAACGGTGAACGGGATTCGTGAATTAAAGCGGTGTTCTACGGACTAAATATACCTACCCGGTTGACGGAGTGTCATCACGCAGAGGTATATCATCGAGACTTGGCAAAGCAAGTGGAATCTAGCTCCTGAGAGCTCCTGTATCCTTATTGAGTGTGTTTTATTTTAAATTATGAATTATTTGAATGTTATAGCTTTATTTCTCGCATAAGTGCTATTGCTACTTGAACTATGTGTTTGCATGCTTTTCTTGACCTCACTGAGTATTAGCTCATCCCATTAGCTTTGTTTTCCTTAACAGGAGTTGAAATGGAAAGAATTATGGAGAAGCCAACTTGATGGACTTATGATTAGAATTTTGAGTGTAATTGTTTAGATAACTTTTGGAGGTTGTATATTTTGTGGAATGTTGATGTACTTTTGGTATCTTGTGATGTAAGAATTGTATATTTATTAAGGAAGCGACACTTTCTTTATATCTTCAACTTTTAGTATTGATTGATTTTTCATAAGTTGAATTCGTCTCGTAGGGAGTCCTGGCGAGAGTTAAGCAGGTGTCCCGCCGATACCCTTAGATTCGCTCTAGGGAGAAGTGGAGGCGTCACAAATCCTGCTAGGGTTGGTGGCGGCAACTAGGGTTTGTTATATGTCCGCGGCCATGAATGCCCTCCAACCTGCTGCTGGGGGGCAGGCTCCTCCCTCTCCAACCTTTCTCCATAAGTCCTTTGCTGCATTGTTCTCTAACAACTCAGCCACGCCATCGCTATCCATCCAAGCGACTCCATCTACACACAAAGGGGAACCAGCGTTGCTGTTCTCGCAAGAAGCTCTGGAGAAACTTGCCGCTCCACACCGTCTAGCACTAGTGGGCAATTTTTCAAGAGGTCGACCGAAACTTGAGGACATACGTGGGTTTCTGCGCAAGTTAGATTTGCGCGACACTGCAACTGTTGGCCTACTAGACGCACGACATGTGCTGCTGAATTTCAACTTCGACGCTGATTTCCATAGAGTATGAGCAAGGGGGATTTGGTATGCCATGGGCACCCGATGAGGGTCTTTAAATGGACTCCATCGTTTCATGTTTGATCGAGAGTTGTCTGTTGTCCCTATGTGGTTCCAGCTGCCCAAGCTACCACTTCATTTGTTCCATAGAGAGACGTTGTTTCAGGTTGCGGAGGTGGTAGGCGTTCCACTGTTAGTGGATGCTGCAACAATGGCTATCTCGAGACCTAGCGTTGCACGAGTCTGTGTTGAGATGGATTTGATGATGCCAAGGCCTTCGAGGGTGTGGATTGGGAATGGAACGCATGAAGGTTTTTGGCAAGAGCTGGTGCCGGAAAACCTGCCCTCATACGGCTCCCATTGCTTTAGGCAGTGGCACACGGAGGATGGTTGCCATGTATTGCACCCAGAGCTGAGGGCTGTTAAGGCGGGAGGAGATGTGGAGGTCACTGGGCTGCCTGCTGAGGAGGACATCAGTCCCAAGCAAACGCTGCGAGTGACGGTCCAAGCCAACAAGGCTGTGTCGAGCTCGGCAAACACAACCGTAGCTGGGGAATAAGCAACGAAGCATGGCTCAGGCATGGGTCAGCAGTTTGAACAGGTTGGGGCGGTAGTGGTTGATGGGATGACCATGCACCAGTGCGCTGGTGCTACGACAGCGCTGGCGGAGACAACAGCAGTGGTTACGGCCACGGTTTCGCAGCAACCTCTTGCGGCGCCTCCAAACGACGTGCTATTGCTGGGTGGGCAGGAGTTGAACCAGGCGCAAGACGTCAGCGATGCTGGTGCAGTGGCTACTCCTAACGAACGCGAGGCAGGTTCCGCGCCAGTGCATGGCCATGCGGTTGATGGGCAGACTGATTTGCACAAGGGATCAGTAGAACAGTGAGCGACAGAGAGTCATTTTGGTTTTGCAGATGGTTTAACAAGAGAGGATAAGCTTTGCAAGGTGCAGGGACGGGTAGGTAATTTGTCACTGAGAGGAGAGGCTAAGATGGTGTCGCTGGATGGTGAGAGTTCATCTGTTGCTGCTTTGAACTTGGAACCTAGCGTATTATCGTCCATGATGCGCCAAGATGGGGTTAGTGCACTGCCCCAGTCGAAGAAAAAATGTTCTCGGGTCCATATTCTATCTGATCGTACTTTACGCTTTAGAGTAGTTGTGTCGAAAAATTCTTTTTCAGCGTTATCTAATGATTAGGTGTCTTTTTTGGAATATTCGGGGTGTAACTCGAGCCCCTAATCTAAAATGGCTCTGCAAGCTAGTTAAACTATATTCGATGTCGTTGGTAGCAGTTTGTGAACCTAAGACTTCTCTATTGAACCTGGATTCGGTCCGGGTGAAGGTAGGAATGGATTTAGCTGTTGCAAATCAGTCGAGTAGTGTTTGGGTATTGTACAAATCTGCGTTTACTTGTCATACGATAGGGGAATCCAATCAGCACATCACATTGGGCATTGGTTCCCAATTATTGCCTGAGGAGATATGCTTTTCATTTGTTCATGCAAAGTGCACTGCTCAAGAGAGGGAAGGCCTATGGGTAGAGCTATTGCGCGAGAAGCCGGCGGTTAAGCCCTGGTTTCTAGTGGGGGATTTTAATGTTATTTTGAATGCAGAGGAAAAATGGGGCAGCTTACCTTTCAGGCAGGCCGATAGGGTGGAGTTAGCACAATTTATGTCATTGGCAGAGGTTGGGGATGCTGGCTTCTCGGGGTCCAGGTATATTTGGTGTAATAATAGGCAAGGTTTGGCTAGGGTTTGGAAGCGCTTAGACAGATTTTTGCTCAACTCCGCAGCAATGAGGATGGAAAATGCTTTCATAGTGCAACATATGGGGAGAGATCCGTCTGATCATGCCCCCCTGCTGTTGTCTGCGGTGACGAGGTTGGATGGTAAGCCAATGCCGCTCCGCTTCTTGAATGTGTGGACAACAAAACCTGATTTCCTGGATGTGATTAAAGAGTGTTGGTCTTTTTCCTTCCCTGGGTCGTCTCTCAAGATTTTAGCGGAGAAGCTACGTAGGGCGAAGCAAGCGCTTCGACAATGGTCTAGAAGCTCTTTTGGTGACATATTCTTGGCGATTCGGACAGCGGAGCAAAAGATGGTAGAGGCGGAAATAGCCCATGATGACCATCCATCAGACGGGTTGTTGATGAATCTACATGAGACGCGTGCTCGACTGCGCAATGCTTTAATGGTTGAGGGAGAGTTCTGGAGGCAGAAAGCTCGGGTTAAATGGCTTATGGATGGCAACAGGAATACGGTGTTTTTTCATGCAGTAGTAACGGAGATGAGATGAAAGTCGATTATTCATAGGATTCGGAGGACGAATGGTGAGTGGGTAGACGATGAAGCAAGTATTTGTAATGAGGCCGTCTCTTTCTTTCAGGGGTTGTTTACAAAAGAGGTGGGAAGAATTGCCAGTGACATGTTAGAGGTCATTCCTAGGGTTATCACTGAACACGATAACAATTTGCTGATGGAGGTCCCATCAATACACGAAGTGAGGGGGGTCATCTTCTCAATGGATGGGGATAGTGCCGCGGGTCTGGATGGCTTCACGGGGAAGCTTTTCACGGTTGCGTGGGAGGTGGTCGTTGTGGATGTTCATAGGGCTATAGCGAGCTTCTTTTGTGGCGCAATGTTGCCAAGAAGCGTCACCGCTACTGCAATTGTGTTGCTTCCCAAGGTTCAATGCCCACAGGATTTTACACAATTTCGACCGATAAGTTTATGCAACTTTGTCAACAAGGCCATCTTCAAAATCTTATCCACCCTTTTGGCTAGGGTTTTTCCTCGGATTATCTCACTGCAGCAGAGTGGTTTCGTGCCAGGGAGACAGATGGCGGATAATTTTCTATTAGCTCAAGAGTTGTTGAGCGATATTAAGAAACCCAACCGGGGAGGGAATGTAATGCTCAAACTAGACATGATGAAGGCCTACGATAGGGTATCGTGGTTGTTTTTTACACAAGTTCTGTGGCGTTTTGGTTTTAGTGAGACTTGGATTGATATGGTGTGGAGGTTGATTTCCAATGTTTGGTTTTCCGTCATTGTGAATGGCTTGCCGCATGGGTTCTTTAAGTCTACCCGAGGATTGCGCCAGGGAGATCCAATTTCGCCGACCTTGTTTGTCATTGGGGCAGAGGTACTTTCTCGCTCTCTAAATGCTTTGGCGGAGCATCGGAGCTACCGACCCTTTAAAGTCCCGAGTGGATGCCCTGTGGTCACGCACTTGGCTTATGCAGACGACGTGATCATTTTCACTAATGGCCTTAAGGCTTCTGTGCAGTTGGTCAAGAGGGTAGTCGATGGATACTATTCACTGTCGGGGCAGCAGGTTAACTGTCAGAAGAGTTATTTTTTGGTGCACCCCAGGTTGCCTCCGCAACACCGAGCAATGATCAGAATGGTTACGGGCTTCTCGTACAAGTCTTTTCCAATCAAATACCTCGGCTGTCCTTTATATATTGGAAGGAGAAGATTGACTTACTTTGCAGATATCTGCAGTGTTGTAACGTCTAGAATCTTATCATGAAAACATCGGGTTCTCTCGTCTGCAGGCAAACTGGTATTATTAAGAAGCGTGCTTTCTTCAGTGCCGGTCCATCTGTTAGCAGCGGCATCACCACCAAAGGGAGTTTTTGCCTCTATCGAAAAGGTGATGGCTGAATTTTTGTGGGGTTCGTCGGATGTTGGCCATAAGTTTCATTGGATAAGCTGGAGGGAGCTGTGCCAGCCTCCGGAAGCAGGTGGGATCGGAATTCGGAGCATTGCTAAGGTATATGATGCATTTTCCATTAAGCTTTGGTGGAATTTTAGGCAAAGGAAATTACTATGGGAAGAATTCCTAACAGCAAAATATAGTAAAGGGTGCATCCGTGTTTGGCAGAAGCGGTCTCTTCACAGTCCTATACTTGGCAGAGATTATGTTCTATCCAACATTTGACGGAGGAGCATATCGACTGGATTCTTGAGGAGGGCTCAATGGATTTCTGACATGACAATTGGATGGGTATGGGAGCATTGTGTCATCTCGTAGATATTTTTCATGAGCATGTGGTGTCGAACTTTGTCTCTCAGGCCCAATGGAATGTGCAGCTGCTTAATCGGGTCTTAGAGCCGGAGCTGGTGAGGCAGGTGGTGAAGGTCCCTCGTCCTTCCTCTCGAGGAACGGATAGGATGGTCTGGGCTTTAACGGCGGATGGTGCGTTCTCGGTAGCCTCGACATAGTCCATTGTTGCGCAGGCATCCAATTGCTCGTGGGTCGCTTCTCAGGTTTGGCTGAAGGGATGTCCACTCAAGATTTCCTTCTTCATGCTCCAGTTGTTGCGGTCGCATCTTCCGCTTATGGATATGCTACGAAGATTTGGGGTTCAGGGACTGTCTAAGTGTCACTGTTGCCCTAGGCCGGGCGAGGAAGGGATCCATCACACCTTTTGCACAGGGGATTTAGCAAAGGCAGTTTGGAAGAGCTTCGAAGATAGTCCAGAGGATTTGACTGTGACGCCTACATTGAGGCATCTGGTCTTTAGATGGTGGTTGCGTCGGGGGCACAATGAGTACCTCAAGTTCATCTATCGGTTGCTGCCAATGTTGGTCTATTGGGAGCGGTGGAAAGCAAGAAACAAAGGGGTATATGATGGAGGAACGTGGTTTATACGAAGGTGGTGCATCAGGTATTTTGTGAGAACCCGAAAATTTTCTGAATTTCTAGGCCTTATTTTCTTTCTTTGCACCCGTTTTCTATATTTTGTTATTATGTTAACTTTGGAGATATTTTTATAAGTAAATATAGTTTTAAATTATTTTTCTAGTATAAGTTAGTTTTTGAGAAATTAAGAGTGTATACCGGATGTGGGATCCGCTAGTGCAGTAAGTGCGGTAAAATTCGGCCAATTAGGTTAATTTTTGTATATCGGGAGTAATTTATTAGGTGTTAAGAGATAATTAGAGGTTACCTATATAGATTAGTATTGGAGAGACAAGAGGATAAGTTTAAACCAAAAAGGTGACAAGTGTCACCCTCATATTCAATGTTGGACTTTGACTACTATTCCTTAACTTTACTAAATGTTCAAATTGGACCCAAAATCATCTTCATTCTTCAACCATTTGGCCGAGCTTCTTGAGGAGAAAAAGAAAGGAAAGCTTTCACCTTGGTTCTTCATTTCTTGCTCCAATCTCACAACTTAACCGTTACAACTTGAAATTACTCCATAAAAACCCTTAGCTAAGTAGTATTGAGCTAGTTAGTGGAGTGGTTTGGAAGGGAGAAGTGCTAAGTTGTCTCTTTTTTTGAGTTGGTAAGGTGAGTAGCTAAGGAATGCTTTCTTTGGTCTTGTTAATGTTGAATTAGTGATTTGTGTTAGTTAAAGAGGTGTTTTTGTGGGTTATTTCATGACTTTTGGTAGAGATTGTGGAATTTTATTTTTATTCATAATTTTTCTGTTTTTATATGTTTAACATTGGTTGGCCATGGATGATAGCTTAGTATGGTCTAGAATGAAGCTTTGGTGTGTTAATTGTCTCTATTTGCGGAAAATTTCCGCTTTGTACAGAAAATTTCAGCTTTAGGGTTTTAATTTGATCATGATTGGGGGTGGTTTTGGAGCTACCAATTGGTTGTATCTTAAGGGTGTTTCCTAGACTATGATTGGTATGTGCAATGGTGATTGCTTGTTATGAAATTTGGTGGTTGATGGTAGCATGGTAAAGTACGGAAATCTAGGGGAAGTGCTGCTGAAATTTTCGCAGGACCCTTGAGCAGTCTTGGGGAATCTACTATATCTTGATGTAGGAAAATCGGAATTGAGTTCCGTTTATTACGTTTTAAACTAGATTCATAGTGCTATAAATCGTGTAAAGTTCAGACACTGTTTCTGTCTGTACAATTTATGGTGATTTTTCAAAGTTGACTGAAAATTTGTACCTGTTCTGTCTTTCACTGGATTAGCAGCAACTTGAGGCTTGAATTTGACTGACTTGCATTCTGAATCTTACCATGGTGTTTTCTGGAAAGTTGTAGCCCTTTGAATGCATTTTCCAACGGTATAACTTTTATCAATTTTGGACTTACAAAACTTGAGATATGATTTTTCATATAGGGTAACGCAAAACTGGAAAATTCTGTTTTCCTAGTATTGATCTTACTTTCATTTTCTACTTCACATTTGGAGTTGGTCAATCATTGTAGGTAGGGCTTTGAGGTTGTTCATACCTTTAAGACCAATTGTTACCTTTTCACTCCGAAGTCGCCTCTTTGCTTTGCATTACTGGTTCATTTGAATAGGCTTATGACTCGTACCCAAGTCTTACTTGCAAATTTCATTTACTAGGTCTTAGAGTCAAGTCTTAAGTGTTTGCCTTTGATTGTTCTAGGAGGTGCCGGCGAGTAAAGCCACACTTGGGAAGGAAACTTTTGAAATTACCCTTGTTGGAACTGGTGAGTGTACCACTCCCCTGAATTGTTGTTTAATTGGTTCATCTATACTTGAAATGTGTGGCATGGATAACTATGAACTCTGTTATTCTGAATGAGACGAGGGTGTACTTTATCACACTCGTTCTCTTGCCTGTACTGAATGAACTAGAATCTATTACTTGTACTTGTTATGAACTTGAACTTGTTACTTGCGCTTGTTATGAGATCGTTTGGAAGTGTGTCCAATGATCTTCCTGTTAACTTGAGCTCAACCTCATGGGGAGTTAATTAAGTCGAGCCAGCAAGGGCTTGGTCGAGGTAATTAATAATCCATGGGTGCCTGTTCTTGGGAAATCTTTGGGTATTGAGACTCTTGATTCCGGTATACTCGAGTATTACCATTCCTGTTCTTGTTTGGCGTTCGGGTCCGGTAAGGGGTATGTTTGGTGGACGGGATTTGGCGTTAAAGTGGTGTTCTACTGGACTGATTCCTTTATTTGAATGTTGACGGAGGGTCAACTAGGTTGGATCAAGTATTGCAACGGGGATTTGGCTCTTGAGAGCCACCTGTATCCTTTAAATTGCGGTGTTCATTCATTTCTCGTATTTGATGTGTATATGTGCCCTAAAAGTGATTTCTCATGATTTTTCCTGTTTATACTTTTGGTACCTCATTGAGCTTTTAGCTCACCCCATCTCGTTATCCTTGTTTTCCTTACAGGGAACCATCTTTTGGAACTTCGATGTTTTGAAGAATGAGTTGAGCTAGTTAGAAACTCTTTTGCTCTTTTGAGTATAGCTCCTCGACAATTTGGAAACCCTAAATGTATCTTAATAAAATGTTTCTTTTGGTGTATAAACTTACTAATATGTATATTGTACAGTGTTTCCTTATGGTTATTTGTCTTTGGGAATGTATATTCTCTCATGTCAAACAAAGTATACTTGTACTTGGTTGGATTGTGACGGGGCAGTGGCCCTTCATCTCGTTTTGATTTTTTTTCGTGGGAACGTTGTACTAAACATTGATTGTATCTTTTAGTTCGGCTCAATTGGGTTTTGAATATTATCTTCTCGAAGTTCTTTTGAGCGTCTGGTAAGGTTTCCGTTTGTTCCGGATCCGTAGTCCTGGCGAGAGTTGGGTAGGCGGTCCGCCGAACCTTTTGATTCGCCTTAGGGTAAGGTGGGGCTGTCACAGGTGGTATCAGAGCCGCTTCGCGCGGTCTCTGCACGGAGTGAGCTTGGGCCAAGTAGTGTTATGGTCCTGATTTCGTGAATGTGTCTAAGTGCTCGTTTGAGCATAAGCTATGAACCGTGCTTGTTATAAGTGTAAAAATCTTTATCATGGAACTTGAGGAAGATAGATATGTATGTCGGGTAGGAATCTATAACATTGATGATTTACTCTTGGGACCGGCCGGCTCGAGCTGTGAATTATCTTATTGTGGATTCTTGGACTTGAGTACCAAATTGTGGTGAAGAGCGCGAGAATAAGGATCTGTATCTTGATTGAACTTGAGGTAAGTCTGGATGGCAAAGGCCAAGGCACGGAAGATTTTACATTGGACCTCGTAATAAGACTGATCGAGGGGGTTTGATATGGAAGTGTTATCATGGACTACTCTTGTACTAGTCTGGCTCGGCTTTTTTCGAGCGTGGCTAAATTGTAAGGGAATTCGCACCTAAGACATGTTCCCTTTTGCTATGACCGTGAGAACTTGATAAGTGTTTACTTGACTTTGAGTTAGTCTAGCTACAACCATAGAGGTACTTTCTACCCCTCTTGTGAGATTCGATAACCGTAGTTTGGCTCTCGATAAACTACCCTTGCCTATACTTTCTTGACATTTATCTCTTGATGTCAAAGTGTGGACTGACTTGATTATTATTGTGTCGAGATCGAGAGTTTGGAATTAGGTATGGAATTTGAGAGAAAGGATTTGGCCTCTATACCTATATGTTTCTAAGTTTGATTTTTCGTGGTTGGATTGGGAGTGAAGGAACTTAACAGTTATATGGTTAAACCAAGTGTACTTGGTTACTTGTTTTGATTTTTTCAATTTGCTTGGTAGGCTATCCCTTGAGTTCGAGCAAATCGGTAAAATGACACATTTGACTGAGATGTATAAGGAGATAGAGATTCTTCGAAAGGAAGTAGAGTTCCAAAAGAGATTAGCTGAGCACTGGGAAGGGCGATGGGAACAGGAGTATTCAGAAAAAATTGAGCTACTGCACAAGAACATAGAGCTGAAAAAGAAATACGAAGGGATTCCAGAAGAGGTACAAAGTAAGTTTGAGTTAGTGCCTTCGTCTAGTCAAATGGACTCTCAAGACATTCCTAGTAATAAAGATGAAAGAGGTGAAGGAAGTGCTCGCGACAACAAAGGGAAACGTAAAGAGATGGATAGAAATGGAGTTGCTATAAAGGATAAGGGGAGGAAGAAGGAAAAGAATGGACACTTTAAGAAGAAATGTGTGGCTGCTAAGTGTGAAACATGTAACAAAACTCATACGGGAATATGTTATGTGAAAATTGGTGCATGCTTTAGATGCGGCCAACTGGGACACCAAGTGAGGAACTGCCCAGAACAAATGAATTTTGGGATGGTGAAGTTGCTGTAATAGTTAAAGTCGGCAAGCAATGATGTGTTAGCTGAAATAATTGTATTTATGGAACTATGTGTATACAACCCCTATGTAATGAGTGTATTCTCGATAAAAGTAGTAGATCTATACCTGATATTGTGAGTGTATTCTCCCTATGTCTTCACTGATTTTCTTAGCATAGCGTTTTAGTCATAGCATTGTTACGATTTCTTTCTAGATAGATTGTGGTATGAGGAGAATTTCGATGACGAAATTCTTTTAAGGGGGAGAGAGTGTGAGAACCCGAAAATTTTCTGAATTTCTAGGCCTTATTTTCTTTCTTTGCACCCGTTTTCTATATTTTGTTATTATGTTAACTTT